GTAGGTGTAGTTTAATGTACTACATTCAATGCAAATCATATCTCTTGACTGCTATTTGGGAAAGCTATCAAAAGCAAACATTGTTTTTCATTAGTGAAATCCTTGCCTGAAAGAATTAAGTCTGTCATAAAAGCCAGAGGTGGAGCAAAAAGTATTAATTAAATTATTTAAGTAGACTAATTTCATAATTTTTTACTATATGTAAAATTTAAAAATAATGTGCTCAATTTACATGTTATAGTAGAGCATCGATTATCTGAAACAATTCGGGACTGGAGTTGTTCGGATAACTGATCATTTACAAAAATATATTAAACATAAAACTGTACTGTATATAATTTGTATCACATGTCTTAAAAATATATACCTTATATTGTGGAGTTTTCCAGGACCAATTTCTTCAAGTTCCACCATATGTTTTCTATTGGGTTGAGATCCAACTGTTTGCTGGAGAGTCTATTGTGTTGATATGTTGGTGAAGAAATTTTTAACAGTTCAATCCTTATGACAAGATGCATTGTCATCTTTGAAAATGACATCATCACCACCACCAAATATATTTTCAATAGATGGAATAAAAAAGTTCTCCAAAATGTTAACCTGAGCATTAACTGTAATAATGACCAGCATTTCTGATCTTATATGTGTCATGCAATGCCAAATAATAACTGAGATAGGAAATTTTGTCATTTTCTTTAGACAGTCATCCTTATAAGCTTCATTAGAATGGTGCCAGACAAAAGTTCCAGCATCATTTCCATGACCAATGCAAATTTGTGAATCATCACCAAATCACTTTTATCCAGTTGTCTACAGTCCACAATTGCTTTGCTTTGGTCCGTTGTACCCTTGTTTTTTTATTTTTTGTATTTAGTTCTAGTTTTTGTTTTGCTTTTGTATATGAAAATTCCATTTCTTTCAATTGATTTCTCAATGTTAACTCACAGACACTAACACCTGCTTCTTTTCACTTCCTATTTATTTCATTTTTTTTACATTTCCTACTTTCAAGACATATTGCTTTTAGTTTCCTATTCTGATGCTTTGATATCTTTTGGGGTTGACCAGTATGTTTTCTTTATATATTATTTTCAATTCCTTTATACATGCATCAAACTTTAGGCACAGTTGACTGTGAACAGCTCACAACTTTTACAACAGTTCTTATTGAATTGCCTTCCTTAAGAAATTTTATAAACTTTTTCTGTTGTTTTAGTTGATACTTTCCTTCCGGATGCCACGGTTCTGTTACATTAACAGAACAGTAAAGCATTTGATTGGCTTCAAGATATACTTTATATTCAGATTTACTATTTGCATACTGAACAATATAGCAAGCAAAATTTAAAATGTGCTAAACATAAGATAGATGCTAGTGGAACGAGTGCTAAACAGAGACTGATGGAGCATGTGCACAATCTGGGATTTTTCCTCTTCTTGTCACTCGTTATGCGAAACATCACTCGTTAAGCAAGTCAAATTTTTACAATTTGTTTTGTTCATTATGCGAGGGGCTCACTGTATTTAATTTACATAATGTTATGTTGATTGTTTAAATTATTTTTAATATAGGCAAAATTATTACTAAAGTTTACTTCTAGCCCTTGGTATAATTATATTAATTAAATTATCATCAGCGAAAAATCCCAAAATGCATTTCGGACTATTTTCTGATAGAAAATAGTCCGAAATGCATTTTGGGATTTTCGTTTCCATACTTATGTAGTCAAGTTTGTGGTCATTTTCACTTTGATTCCTGAGTGTTTGAGCCCATCATTGGTCTGATAAGCCCAAGCCCTCACTATTATCTGCCTCATGGTTGTTGATAATTTAATTAATATAATAGGCAAAATGTGTGACTATTATTAGAAAATTATTTTGTATCAAATGCTTGTTTTATTTCTTTGCTACATACTGTTCATAACAAAAATTTTGTGACTATTCAACCTTCCACTAGAAATCAATCCCCCACTCATTTCACTCTAACTTCTGTGAGGTGAACAGCTTAACTCTCAAATTTCATTGCTTTGCCTTCCCTCTTGGTCCAACCTAATCCCATTCATTTTGCTCAACCTTCCCATTTGTTTCACTTTCCTTTGGGTCACTCCCTGTTGTCTTTTCTCACTTGTTTAAAAATTTAGTGGTAATTCATTGATTCCACTTGCTGCTGTTTGTTTTTTTTTTTTTTTTTTTTCTNTATTTTAATTTATGTTATATGTTAATTTATATTAAATTAAAGCTGGTTATTAAGATGTAAATTTTGTAATATGTGATCATTCAAAATTTTTGTAACTGAACAGTGTTTATATTCTTATTGTCCACTGATTCAATGTACGACTGAGAGTAAAAAAATTAGTTAAGAGTATAGCTTTATTGGGTTGCAAATTGAAAAAATTGTAGACCTATAAATTCCCACTGTCATCTGTCTGCATACCTGTCTGTCCTTCCTTAATCTTGAGAATAGAGTTAGATAGATGAAAGTTGAGACCAGATGTGTAAAGATTAGGGGCAGGGGACCCCAATTAACTATGTACAAACTTCCAATGCAAATCAGAAGTCACATTTATTCAGTTCAAAAATTTTCTCTTAAAAGGACTTAGATGACTGGCGTGACTGTATTGCTAACAGGAAAAGTATATGTTGATGATGATGATGTATAGGACTAACAGAAAAAGTATTATATACAGGGGCAAGACACTACTAATTAGAGGTGGCAAGCAAATATTTTAAATTAAATAGATTAAAAAATGTGATTAAAAATTGCAGCCAGAAATTGTGATGATGTCACAATAAATAATTGCTCGTTAAATAATTTGCTTCTGACAAAATCATGTTCCAAATTGACTTCTCTATCCTTCATTATGTATTCAGTTTTATTTAAAAGGATAGGTTACTCTTGACAAAGCAAAGAAAAAAAAATTATCTCGTTTTTTTTGTTCATTGCATATATAGTAAAACTCCTCTAACTAGAAGCTTCAAGGAGCAGGAAAAAACTTTGAGTTACAGACAGTTCAAGTTAGAGAATAATAGAGTAAAAAATGCCGATTCTAAATAGATTTGTATTTTTGCCTCTCTTTCATTATGTAAAGAATCTTTGATAGTTTTTTGTTTTAAACAACCCATTAATGCCTTTCAGCAAAATGTTACAAAAAGCAATTTTGTAGTTACATCTTGTTGAGATAAAGCGAGAGAACCTTTCACTTTGGACTGGAATGTTGTCTGCAAATGGGTGTTGGACAGTAGATACAACTAACTGTCTGAAAATTTCTTGGAAATCTGATAATTAGGATCACTTGGAATAGAATAAATATTAACATTTGAATTGGGGAAGTTGAAAGTAACATAAATCAGTGTCGGGAGACTGTAAAAAACTTTGGCTTGGAGAAACTTTGAGTTAAAGAAATTGAAGTTGGAGACATTAAATCTCTATGTTATTCCATTGAGACCTAACAAGTGCTTCATTTTCTTCGAGTTAAAGAAGTAGTCGAGTTACAGACATTTTACTGTATTATGTTCATGTTATGTCAGTATAATTTTTTATATACATAAAAATGATATTGATTTATATCTTTTTATTATTTCAGTGAAGTATACTGAATGATTATCATTCTCTGCTATATTTAGAAAAATGTTAGATATTTATTTCCAAAACACTAATGATTTTACCTGTGCTTGTTTCATCTTTCTATAAGAAGACCTTTGTTTTAATGGAGTTGTAATTTTATCATAACTTCTTTTAAACTTAATCAAATATATTCATTATGGATTATTTCATATACTGTATAACCTGCATATAACTCTGTAAACTGCATTTCTACAAGGAAATTGTGATTTAATTTTTAATATTGCATAATAGAAATTATTATAGAAATGACAAAGCCATAATTCTGCAGTATATGGTTGCTTGCTTTGTTTATCAGTTGATTTTGATCAAATATTAGAACTGCTTGTTTTAACAATAATTATGTTTTACTTACAAGTTAGTCTGAAAATATTTTATATTATAAAGACAATGTTTTATATTATTTTAAATATTTGAAATGAATTTCAGAATATATAATAATAATAATAATAAGTTGACAAAACTGCGTCAAACAGCTGGTTAGATCGGGGATGCCTCTTTGGGGAGACGGAAGGATTCATGATTGCCATACAGGATCAGGTCATAAATACTAAAAACTACAGAAAACACATACTCAAAGATACAACACTCACAAATGACACATGCAGAAAATGTCACATCATGCCAGAAACTATACAACACATCACTTCTGGGTGCAAGCTCTTGGCACAGACAGATTATTTACACAGACATAATCAAGTAGCAAATATAATACACCAAGAGCTTGCAAAGAAACACATATTGGTAGACATCCACGAACCATACTACAAGTATATACCACAAACAGTATTGGAAAACAACACACACAAAATGTACTATGACAGAGCCATAATCACAGATAAAACAATTTACCACAACAGACCAGACATCACACTCATTGACAAGCACAATAAAATCACATACATTATAGACATAGCCATTCCAAACACTCACAATGTACAAAACACATGCACTGAAAAAATCAGCAAGTACACAGAACTCGCCCAGGAAATAAGGAATCTGTGGAGGATGGATAGGGTGCCTATTGTACCTGTCGTTCTCACCTGTACAGGTGTGATACCACACACACTACACAAAAGCCTGGGAACATTACAATTGAGTAGAAATACATACATCACATTACAGAAGGCCACTATATTGAATACATGCCACGTTGTTAGGAAATTCCTGAATACAGACACACACACTGACACACTTATTTAATTTTAGTTTTGTTTTGGTTGCTATGCCTTGACATTGATCCGGCATAGTACACAGCCACCGGTGTGAACCGAGTATAACTCACAAAACCCAACATAATAATATAAAATCTTATTAGGTTTACTTTTTGATATTTCTGTACTATTTGTTTATAAAACATTTAATTTTTATTTTAAAGGCAAAACTATTGATTCAACAGGAGGAATTTGCTCTTGAAAATAATGAAATTTTGAATCCTACCACTTACAGTAAGTAATTGTTTTTTAATATTAATTTTACTATATAAAGGAATAACAGAATTTAACAGAAAATTCTATGTTAAATCTTGTTGGTTTATATATACAGGAGCTAAATTTCAAGAGGGATTGCAGGAATCCTGCATGTTTTTGAAAAATCCCTCTTGGAGAAATTACAAGGGTGATTTCTATTTCTTCCTTTCATTTGGAAAAATGAATTTTAGCCTTTGATATATCTTCATTTTCTAAATACATTGTGGCCCCTTACTTTGAATTTATCAATAATTTATTCCAGAAGACTGTTGAAACTCCAAATAGTTTAAAGTCTAAACCAATTTTTCTCATTTGAAATAATGGAAAGAGAGTAAGTCCATTCCCAAATTCTAAACAATACCCATTTCAATAAGCTTAAAACAGCAAATACACATAATTTAAGGTAAAAAATAATTCAATTAAACCACCATAATAATAAATTAAAACACAAAAACAGTAAATAAAATACATAAATACTGTATAATAAAATAAAAATTGCATTTATTGGTTGCACACTGTCAACTTCAGCATCTTAAACACAGTCGCCAGTTTCCCCACACATGTACTGCTTTCATTCTTCACAATAAGTTCCATTTTTGCTTCAATCATTTATTACAATTTCCCTCTTAGACTTCATTGCTTTTACCCAATTCTCAGATGACATTAAATAAGTAAAGGTTTTATTGGGTTGAACAAACAGTTTTTGCATATTTTTAACAGCTATTGTTACTTAACATAATTGTGTGAACAGTTGCAGAATTTAGAACATTATTGCTAATATGAGATTGTATTCTTTGTTTAGAAGTTTATTTTAAACTTTTTACTTCACATTTTGTTTGAATAAAATCATGTTGAAATGTCTGGATAAAAAAAAGCATATTGGGCATATTCTTTGAGTTTTGGAAAAGAAATAGTGCCATACAAATAATAAAAAAATTTGTAATGTATATGGTGCAGATACTTCTATACTTCAAACATGTTAAACCTAGGTTTAAAAAGTTCCATTTGGGAAATTTGGACAAATTGCAGGAAGAAATTGTTAAAAAATCGACCAATAACATACAATATATATAATCAAACACACCAAAATAAATGTGAAAAAAGCACTGAAAAGACACAAGCATTATTCGAGAGAGAGAAATAACTTGTGCATGCATTTATGTTTCAAGTGGGTTTTTACACTTCATATGCAGTTTGAACTCTGAAGAATTTTGAAGTTAGAGTATTCAGAATGAGGTACCACTGTAATTCATTAAGGTTAGAATGCATATATGAATTACTTAGAAAATTAAAATATATAGCACCTTTCTAATTAGCATCACTCTTGTAAAGTGCCAATGAATACTTATAAATGGACCTTCTCCATAAATATTAAGTAGAAAACTCTTCAGTATTATTGAATTGCTACAAAATGTAAAATTTTTCACTGCAAATGACATTATCATTAAATTATGTAATTTTCAAACTCTCAAACTTAAATTTATGTATTATCACACATATCACATATAGTTTTTATACAAACAAATATGTCAGTATTGGGACAACATGTATGTTTATTGCTTTAAATGTGTGTTTTGCAATAGGCTGTGTTGGTAATGATGAATTTAATGCACTGTTATATTCCTTATTATACTCTGTTTTATCTGCAAGTATTCTGTGAGTTTGGTCTGTTGGAGTCCTAAATACGACTCCTGGCAAAAATTATGAAAACACTTTATTGTGAAGACATTAGCGAGGTTGAGGCCAAAGTTTTAAATGCGAAAACGTGTATGTCAGACGTTCAGCGCTGCTTTCCTGTAAGCCTAGAAGTTTGACAATGGTGTTTGGATAGTCAGTGGAATCATGCTCGGCATTCCAAACACCATTGTCAAACTTCTAGGCTTACAGGAAAGCAGTGCTGAATGTCCGATGTACACATTTTCGCATTTAAAACTTCGGCCTCAACCTCGCTAATTTTGAAGTTTTTAAGCATGTAACAAATAAACAAAACAAACAATTTAAACAAAATACTTTTTAATAATGGCTAAACCTTTTGATTACTTTAAGTAAGCCTTAATTGAAATACAGTAGAGCATTGATTATCCGAATACTGATCAACCGAAACATTGGTTAACCGAAAGCATTCCAATCGGCAAATTCAAATTTTCACTAGTGCTGTGGCATTGCAGCATTTTTCCCCTCCCTGACAAACTGAACTGTAGGTGTAGTTTAATGTACTACATTCAATGCAAATCATATCTCTTGACTGCTATTTGGGAAAGCTATCAAAAGCAAACATTGTTTTTCATTAGTGAAATCCTTGCCTGAAAGAATTAAGTCTGTCATAAAAGCCAGAGGTGGAGCAAAAAGTATTAATTAAATTATTTAAGTAGACTAATTTCATAATTTTTTACTATATGTAAAATTTAAAAATAATGTGCTCAATTTACATGTTATAGTAGAGCATCGATTATCTGAAACAATTCGGGACTGGAGTTGTTCGGATAACTGATCATTTACAAAAATATATTAAACATAAAACTGTACTGTATATAATTTGTATCACATGTCTTAAAAATATATACCTTATATTGTGGAGTTTTCCAGGACCAATTTCTTCAAGTTCCACCATATGTTTTCTATTGGGTTGAGATCCAACTGTTTGCTGGAGAGTCTATTGTGTTGATATGTTGGTGAAGAAATTTTTAACAGTTCAATCCTTATGACAAGATGCATTGTCATCTTTGAAAATGACATCATCACCACCACCAAATATATTTTCAATAGATGGAATAAAAAAGTTCTCCAAAATGTTAACCTGAGCATTAACTGTAATAATGACCAGCATTTCTGATCTTATATGTGTCATGCAATGCCAAATAATAACTGAGATAGGAAATTTTGTCATTTTCTTTAGACAGTCATCCTTATAAGCTTCATTAGAATGGTGCCAGACAAAAGTTCCAGCATCATTTCCATGACCAATGCAAATTTGTGAATCATCACCAAATCACTTTTATCCAGTTGTCTACAGTCCACAATTGCTTTGCTTTGGTCCGTTGTACCCTTGTTTTTTTATTTTTTGTATTTAGTTCTAGTTTTTGTTTTGCTTTTGTATATGAAAATTCCATTTCTTTCAATTGATTTCTCAATGTTAACTCACAGACACTAACACCTGCTTCTTTTCACTTCCTATTTATTTCATTTTTTTTACATTTCCTACTTTCAAGACATATTGCTTTTAGTTTCCTATTCTGATGCTTTGATATCTTTTGGGGTTGACCAGTATGTTTTCTTTATATATTATTTTCAATTCCTTTATACATGCATCAAACTTTAGGCACAGTTGACTGTGAACAGCTCACAACTTTTACAACAGTTCTTATTGAATTGCCTTCCTTAAGAAATTTTATAAACTTTTTCTGTTGTTTTAGTTGATACTTTCCTTCCGGATGCCACGGTTCTGTTACATTAACAGAACAGTAAAGCATTTGATTGGCTTCAAGATATACTTTATATTCAGATTTACTATTTGCATACTGAACAATATAGCAAGCAAAATTTAAAATGTGCTAAACATAAGATAGATGCTAGTGGAACGAGTGCTAAACAGAGACTGATGGAGCATGTGCACAATCTGGGATTTTTCCTCTTCTTGTCACTCGTTATGCGAAACATCACTCGTTAAGCAAGTCAAATTTTTACAATTTGTTTTGTTCATTATGCGAGGGGCTCACTGTATTTAATTTACATAATGTTATGTTGATTGTTTAAATTATTTTTAATATAGGCAAAATTATTACTAAAGTTTACTTCTAGCCCTTGGTATAATTATATTAATTAAATTATCATCAGCGAAAAATCCCAAAATGCATTTCGGACTATTTTCTGATAGAAAATAGTCCGAAATGCATTTTGGGATTTTCGTTTCCATACTTATGTAGTCAAGTTTGTGGTCATTTTCACTTTGATTCCTGAGTGTTTGAGCCCATCATTGGTCTGATAAGCCCAAGCCCTCACTATTATCTGCCTCATGGTTGTTGATAATTTAATTAATATAATAGGCAAAATGTGTGACTATTATTAGAAAATTATTTTGTATCAAATGCTTGTTTTATTTCTTTGCTACATACTGTTCATAACAAAAATTTTGTGACTATTCAACCTTCCACTAGAAATCAATCCCCCACTCATTTCACTCTAACTTCTGTGAGGTGAACAGCTTAACTCTCAAATTTCATTGCTTTGCCTTCCCTCTTGGTCCAACCTAATCCCATTCATTTTGCTCAACCTTCCCATTTGTTTCACTTTCCTTTGGGTCACTCCCTGTTGTCTTTTCTCACTTGTTTAAAAATTTAGTGGTAATTCATTGATTCCACTTGCTGCTGTTTGTTTTTTTTTTTTTTTTCTTTACTTTTGTGATGGATAGACAAAGAGTGTCACGACAATTTTTAAGCTAAATATTTTAAATAAATAGAGCAGACTAATTTTAATATATAATTGACACAATTATAATAAATTGATAAAATATATTTATCAAATAAAACATATATTAAATATTCATTATTACTTGTAGTATTCAAGTCCATTTTTTATTTTATTTAATACTTTGATTATAACTGATCACATTAAACTTTATATGATTTGCATTATATATTATATGTAATTATAATAATGCAGTATGTAACTATATATAATTTCATATGATGGTTGCATAATTATATATAATTATAATTATTATGCAGCAATCATAAATGATCGTCCTATTTGAATGGCAATTGCACTTATTTATTAATAAAAAAATTAAGTTTAAATAAATTGTTCTTTAGGTATTCTGACTGATAACAGATTTTTTTTATGATAGACAAAAATAAGTGAGAGGTTTTATAGTTATTACTGTAGAATATACATTATCATTATATATATACATAACAAATTTATATTCAGATATCATTTCTTATGCTTTCTGTTGAATTAAACAACAATTCTCTCAGTTTGGCATATTTGTTTTTCTTTAAAAATGTGGATCTTTCTTCCTCATTTGTCAAACAGCTTTTTTATTGCCACTTTTAAATTAGTTTTTATATATTCTTATCATTTCACTATACTGTTAATGTATTGGAAGAACAGCTGATTATAGCTATTACTTATATGAATTTAAGTTTAAATTTAGCATGATTAGAAGAGTATCTTTTATTCCAGTCACTATGTTGTATGTAAATTTAGATAATTCTCTTTGCTTAACTCAAATTATTTCTCATTAAGCAAAATATATACAGTATACTCTGAAAAAGCAATAATATTAGATAAATCATTACTTATATTTTTTTTTAATAGAAATAAATATGGTAATATCATGTCTAGTAATTTTGAAATGATATTGTCAATTCTGGTAGGTATTAATATTCTTTGAAATATAAGCAAGTTATCCAACAGGAATAATAGAAGGATGCATCAGCAATATGTTGTAACTAATTATAATAAAATGTAATAAAATATTGTATCATTAAGAACTCATTGTGATAATCAATTTTTCTGGTAAATTAAAAATAAATTTATCTATTTATTATACATAGTAGCTTTAATTATTTATTTATCAAACTTTAAATATGCTTTCTAAATTTTTAATGAACTTTTAATTAAAACAATTTAATATAGAGCAACATTTGTAAACTTAGAAATAGATAATAGAATTTAAATTAAACTCTTTAAACTGTTAAGCAAACTATTTTTAAATAAGATTTTTTATTATTTAAAAGTTTAATAAAGCATAAAATATATATTTTTAGTGAAAAGACTTGAAATGCTTGAAGAATTCAATAATCATTTTACCATAATAAAAAGAGAAACAGGAAAATTAAGAAATAGACTTCAGAGTCCTTTATTATCAGAAGCCATTAACATTCATTATTCTTATCAAAAGTTTGTGTTTTTGTTAAATTAAATTAATGTTATTTTTTCAGTAATTAATTAAAATTATTTAATTTTTAAATAATTTTTTCCATTTTAATTTCAGTAATGTTCTATTGTTTTTTGAATTGATATCATCTCATTTCAAGAAATTTAAACACCATCTAGATACTCTTCATAAAGGAGTTGATTTGAACTATGAAGATTTAAAGAATGATTGTGTAAGATTTCATTTGAATTTAATCTTAAATAGTTGTCTTTATTTAAGTGTGTGAAGGAAAATCAGATAAAATATTCTCCAATTTTATTTATTTAAATACAAATAATTTATTTTAGAAAACGAGATTGATAAAGTTTGGAACTCCTGGGAAAAGGTTTGGAATCACTGCTCACATTTTTCTGGCATTAACATTTATCATGTGTCATTATTGCGAATTCATATGCATAATTCTTTATTATTGAGTACAGAACTACAATTCAAATTAAGCAAATCCTAAACAAATAAACAGCATTTAAATGCAAAACAAAAATTTACTTAGGACAGACATAACAAACTCATCTCGGAAAAAGTTTGGAATCATATAAAGTTGTGAAAATAAATATGGAATCTTCTGCTTAAAATAAGCAAAGTCTATACATTACATATGCATGATATTGCATATGTAATGCAAAACTACTTAAATACCCAAAGTTGCTTTGTGTGCCTTAATTAACCTCTAGATACCAGACATGACATTGTGCTGAATTTTGCAGCAGTATGCTGCAAGCAACCTCAAAGCACCCAAATGCTGCTTGGTCTGAGATCAGCAGAACACAAATTTTTAACAGACATATCTATTCTATGGGTTATTCCTAAGGAAAATTAAAATGAAGCCAGGTTAACCAAAATTCACTGACACAAGTGACTGTTGTATGTCAAATAATGAAAAAACTGGACTATAAAAGAATGGAGTCATTATCTTTAGCAATGAGTCAAACATCAATGGTGATATCACAATGGTTGTTCATTCATGTGGTGAAGGAAAGATAAGGAGTGGCAAGACAAGTATGTGATATGCAAAACCAAATTTTCTCAATCTCTTATGATATGGCTATGTATCTTAGCACAAGAACTGGAAAGCTTTGCATTCTTAATGTCATCTTGATTGCATAAGTATATTTAGAAATGTTAGAAGGATTCCTTATCCCACAATTGAAGACCAGTTCAGTGATGAACACCATCTTCCATGATGGCAATGCATTGTCAGTTGCAAAATTCTTCATTTGAAGAATTTGGAAAGGATGGATTGTCTCCCAAACAGTCCAGATTTAAATCTGATTGAAAATGTGTGATGTTATTGAAGCATTTTGTGAATTCTCCACATACATCAACCAAGGAAGGTTAAAGAATGCTGTTAATCATGCCTGGAGTAATATCAATGCAGAAACGTTTAAAAAACTTATGGAATCAATGGAGTTACAGCTGTAATTAAAGCCAAAGGAGGCCATAAAATTATTAAATGTTAGTTTTATGTTTATGATTCCATACTTATTTGCAAGCCTTGTATGATTCTAAATTTTTTTCCAGGATGAGTTTATGTTCTTTGTATTTAAAAAATAAAGAACTTTATTTTTTGACTTTCTATTATAGTATTGATTAGATTTTTACAACAGTAAGGATAAAAATTGTTGTTCCAGAGAATACTTTTTAATTAATATACCAATTAGCCATATAAGTATAGTATTAAATTGCCTGTATATTAAGATATGCACTAACTGTCAACATAATTTAAGATAATTTTACAGTTCCATGAAACTACAGTTGAGTCTGCATAAGTCATCATAGGTATAACTAGACACCATCAGTTAAGTAGTCAGTTTTCTGTGGTCCTGGCCGACTTACATAGGAATTAATGTTAAAAACCTCTGGTTTACTCTACACCGTTTAATTCATCACCACTGGATAAATTGACATACTTTTTCTGTCCCACACTCATTTAGACATCTGATAAGTTGACTCCCCTCCTGAAAAAGATGGGTTTACACCACATGGCTTAACGTCACAGCAGAATCCGATTTTGCATTTTCTTGCCTTTCATTCATGTGTTATTTACAGCAAGTGTTTCACATTTCTGTTAAAAATGAGTATCTGAAACTTAACAATGCTTATGCTGAAGGAAAAATACAAACTTTTATCTGAATTTGAACATAATAAAACTTTGCAAGCCGAATATGCAAAACAAGAAAACCTTGCAAGAACAGCACTGGTAGGAATTCTGAAGAAAAAAGAGGAAATTAAAAGAGTTTTTCTTGGGTCTTTGTTGTGGCTGTCTCAAAACACCAGAGAAAGTTGCTGTACAAAGATGTCCAAGATGCTCTGGTACATTGGCTAAAGGAAATTTGTTCATCAAATCTTCCTGTTTTGGGGCCAATACTGAAACAAAAAGTGATGGAAATCACTGAGGTACTTGGAGTAGAAACCAACTTTAGTGCCAGTGATGAATGATCAGAGAGATACATTGCATGTACTGTATAAAGCACTACTGTATTTTCCTAATTGTAGTTTTGTGGTTTTTTTTCAACTTTGTTTTAGTCGTCATATCAGATAACTCAACACATTTCCACTTCCCTTGGGGTGTTGACTTATGCAGACTCGACTGTTTAAGGTATGAAATTATCTTACATTACCTGTAAAACATGTAATCATTCAACTTTGACTTTCAATTATGACATATATATATATATGTCGTATTATTTTGCAGTCGTAGTCGTAAGGTCGAGTGTAGGTTGAACAAGACAAAGAAAATTGGAGACCATAAAATAACACGTCCGTTCACTTTCGGGTCCTCACTCGAACTCCCCTTATTTTATTGGTGCTGTTAACCTCATTCCAAAAGGGACGAGATTAACAAAGTAAAATACAGAAAATATATACAAAATTTACAAAATTTTAAATATGTTAAANTACAGTAGAAAATATTTTCGCACCTATAAGTCTATCTAGCAGCTCATCTATTCTGGGAATAGGTTCATTGTTAATTTTGATCATCTCGTTTAACTTCCTATAATCCATACATAGTCTAGTTTTTCCCTCATCTCTTTTTTTAGCTAATATGACTGGGGCAGCGTACGGGGACGACGATGGTTCAATTAATCCCGATTTTAGTAATAGTTCCACCTGTCTATCAATCTCTTCTCTATCACGGTAAGATGCTCTGTAAGGTTTGAGAGTTATGGGCCTTTCGTCCTTAAGTAATATCCTAGGGGAAGCTATTTTTAGGGCTGGCACTGAAAACTTCTCAGCAGAAAAAACTTCCCGAAATCCTAAAATAATGCTCTTTAGCTTCTGTTTCTGTTCATCCTTCAGATTAGGGTTAACAACATCCCTAATGTTAAAAATATTTAGCAGAGATTCTTTTAAGGAAGTAGAACTATCCCTACCCCTACAAGTTTCTGCTGCATTCTGAGCTAAAGGAGGTGGGAAGACAAGGTTAGGAGCCTGAGGGGTCTCCCTCTGATCTATCTTATATAAGCTATTACTATTGTTACTTATGCTATTACAAGAATGATTAATATCTCTACTATAGTGACTATTTGTGGAACTAGAGTGATTTGAAAGTACTTCGAAAGTAATAGGATCTAATGTTAGGATAGTCTGATTTTGGGAGATCTGATTAAGACTAGAATCTATGACAAGACTGAATTTTCTAATGTCTGGATAAGATAAAATTAAATAAGGGAAATACCTGGATACTACATGTAAAGTAATGCTTTTTGTTAGGATTCCAATCTTAACGGGGATTGATACATTAGCCATGCTAGTGGTAGATCCTGCAGCTGTAGTGATAATCTTCACATCCGATTGGTATTGAAAGTATCTGGATAAAGTATCTAATAGTCCTTGGGATATAAGGCTGATGGAACTTCCTGTATCAATGAGAGCAGGCATCGTCTTGTTCTCCACCGAAACAGTTAGTAGTAGTCAAGATGGTGAAGTTGGTTCTGATTTATTTGCTTCAGATACCATGTGTACATCTCTGTGAGTAGGAGCTGAATATCTTTGGGGACAGTCTCTTCTCCAGTGCTGGGCTGGTAATCCCTGCTGATAGCAAAAACGGCAAGGCGATGGCGGTGTGCTCATGTGATGTGCCAAATTTCTGTACTGGGGTTGACCCCTTGGTGGAATCCAAGATGGCGTGCGATGTTCCAAATTTCTGTACTGGCGTTGATCTCGTGGGGGAATCCAAGATGGCGTCGTTTTCTTTGTGTGCGGCCATGACAGTACCTGGTTTTTGGCAAAGTGTTGAGATCCTGTGTAATTTTCTCGATTCGGTTTAGTTGCTGGATGATTTTCTTTCTGGGTTTTCGGAGGATGATCTGCTTCTTCTTGAATTTTCATTAACTTGGTAGCCTTCTGAAGCCATTCGACAGCTGTGGTTGGCGGTGCGGCTATCATATATTTTCTAATTTCTGAGTTTATGCCGGCATTGAGGCCTGTAATGGTCTGTTGCATGTTTAACTTAGCTTTTTCCGCCAAAGAGGTTTTGTCTCTATAGTAGGTTAAGACGTCTTCATCTCGCTGATGTCGTCGATTTACAAACTCGGTGAAGTAATCTTCTTCTTCCTGTGGAAAGTACTCGAGTAATTTTTGTTTAATTTTGTTCCAATCCGTTTCCTCTACTAAATTTTCACAAAAATAGTCGAAAGCTTCATGCTGTAAATACTCTGGTATGTAAAAGTGAAGCTCCTGTTCGTCAATCTTTTGTCTCGCCGCTTGCTTCTCAAACAGTCTCATCCACGAAGTCAAACTTAGCTTTCCACGTGGGTTAAACGGTATAAGATTTAGTTTAGGAGAGGTAGAACTACCTGTTTCTGGGATGGATTTGTCTCTAGATTTACTCATGGCTGGTACTAAGGTAATCCTGTCGACTCTTATAAATTGTCGTATTATTTTGCAGTCGTAGTCGTAAGGTCGAGTGTAGGTTGAACAAGACAAAGAAAATTGGAGACCATAAAATAACACGTCCGTTCACTTTCGGGTCCTCACTCGAACTCCCCTTATTTTATTGGTGCTGTTAACCTCATTCCAAAAGGGACGAGATTAACAAAGTAAAATACAGAAAATATATACAAAATTTACAAAATTTTAAATATGTTATATATATATACATTTTTCAGTAAATTTACAACATAAGCCTGATACTAAGAAGTTTTCTTACTAATAAAGGAAATTAGTTTCTAAGTAAAATAGCCCATTAACCGCAGAGGATACATTCCAAGACCATCAGTGGATGTCAGAAACTCTATACATAATATGTTTTTTTCCTATACATATTGTACATGTCTATGTTGAAGTTTAATATATAAATTAGATACAATAAGAAATTAAAAATAATAACTAATAGTAAAATAGAACAATTAAAGCAATGTACAATAATACCTCGACTTACACTACCCCGACTTATGCGAACCCGGAGTTATGCGAACATGATTTTCAAATCTCGTTGAATCGTCTTTTGTTTGAGCGCCAGGCAACTCTTGATTACTCACTCCCCCACACTATTGTTCAGCTTACATGTTCGGACATGTCGCATGGAATTGACGCATAGCTACAATTTATTTTGTGTTATTTTATATCTACGGAGACTCTAGAGACTCTGTGGTGATTTCTTGTAACCATGAATAAATGAAAAGATGAGATAAGATTAACGAGAACATTTATTAGTTTACATACCTCCAACTTGGATTTTACACAAATTGCGAAATTATACCCTGACTTACGCGGTTATCGCTCGGTCCCACCTATCGCGTAAGTTTGGGGTATCACTGTACTGTAATAAAAATTATGTAAATGTAGCCTCAGCCACAAGTAGTTTCTTAAAGTCGAGCTTTAAACATTTTCACTAAAAGGAAGCACTTTAGGGTTTTTCTTTCTTGTATTTAAATTGTTCATGAATCATCATGCAAGATTGGTGATGCTTGCACTGTGGGACCATTATTAAGTAAAGTAAGAGTTATTTAGTTATTTGAACACAAGCACTGTGATATGGTGACAGTCAACTTGATAACTGAGATGGCTATTATGTGACTAATGGGAAGATACTGTATACAGTGTGGATATGCAGGACAAATGGATGGTATATGTGCCAGATGGCATAGGATGATGAGAGATCTCATTGTGCTATTCAGAATGGTGGACAATTTAAAACTTGTGAATTGCTTATTTCTAGAATTTTTCTCTTAATATTGCTGAATTGTGGTTGGTTGCAGATAAGAGAGCTGCTATAATAAATTCACATGTGTTCAGAAGATATATTTCTAAAAAATAATCATTTTGGTATTTTCTTAAATTCAGAAATGCTTTAAGATTTTTTTTTTATCTTTAAAAATAAAATAACAATAAAATCACCTTAATATATCAATGTATTGATGCTAAAATAATAATATATTTTAAAATATATGATTCCTATACAAAACATTTGAAATTAATGTTTCCAGTTAGCTAACCTAATCATTGATTTTCCTGCTGTAGAGGCCAAATTACTATGATCTAAACTTTCAATTTTATAAAATTTTAAAATTTAGTATAAAATGTTTTGAAATTCTATAAAAGTTAATATATATAAAGTGAAAATACTTAATACAAAAACAAAATTTTATTCTATACTATGTTAACATATTATAGAATAAAATTTGCTTATGTTTTTATAAGTCAAACAGATTTATTATTGGATATGTTTTTAAGAGTTATTTGGCTTCATCTATAAATCAGAATGATTTAAATTTCTGAAATTATTTTAATTGTGTAATCTGATCTAAAGGTGGGGTAAAATAACTTCAAGAAATGTTTTATCAAATAATAAATCTGTTTGCCTTATAAATGTATTAGCAAATTTTGTTCCTTTTGAACAATCAAAATTAATGTTTTTGGTCTATAAATTTGGCTGAAAACAATGGTAATATTGAATAAATGTCTCGGTAGCCAAAAGATGATTAGTGTTGATGATGATCCTTCCTAATTTATTCATAATGGAGCTGAATATTTCTCAAAAATTTAAAGTTAACATATTTTATCACAACAAATTATCATGTTTTTAAATATATATCAAATCAATATTCTCATTCATTTTTGATTTGGTTCAATTTATATTATCTTAAAAAGGGATATATTTTATTCTTCAGTTTCAAATTCTTTAATTACTTAAAATATATAACACCTAAACTATATAAAATATATATATAATATTTTTTACTAGTAATTATTAATCTTTATGATCTCATCTTTCACTGTTTTTAAATACAGTGAAAATAGTAAAAGATGAAATATTCAAGACAAATTGGATTATATCTGAAATGTATCAATCAGTTTTGGCCAATATATATTTCAGTCACAAACTGGTATATACAAAAGCATCATTTTTACATAAAATAGCTGATTAGTATATCTATTAAGTAAAAATATTCCAATTATTTGCCACAAATTGTTAAAGAACACTTAATTGTAATTGAACTAAATAAGTTATTTTATGATTAGAGAATCTAAACTGCAGATAGTATGTGTGTCAATCTCTGTTGGAGATTTTAATGATTAGTACAGTTAAATGATTTTAATTTCGATACGTTTGGGCAAAGGAAATGTCTAGAGGAAGAATTGTACTAACATCCCTCTTCTAAATATGTGAACTTTAATTTGGCAATGCACTTATATATTGGGCAAGAGTAATTGTTTTTGAATTGGATACATTTTTAGATACGGTAAGACTAAGTTAAATTACTTTAAAATTATTAAAATATTCAATAGTAATATGCATATAGTTCAGATACTCTAATTATTAACATATAATAATTTATTTTTCCCAATTATATAATATCTTTACTGATTCTCAAGTTAATGAATTAGTTATGAGTATTATGTTTGTTTATGAATATTTTAACTTAATTAAAAGGAAACTATTTAGTATTTATATATTAATTATTAATACTTAAATGTATTCCTACCAACACTATAAGCAGACTGTATAAGCAGAGATGTGTTTTGTAAAAAAAAAAGTGCTTATTAACATCACATTGTGAAAAATATTTTTGTCTTTAATGCAACAATATAAGAATGAAGATTGCTTCTATACTTTGCTTTTAATAATATGAAAATACAAATAAATAAATATAGTCTCTTGAAAATCTGAAGTTAACTTTATTCTAATGTATTTTCACAAATTTGTTCTTTTGTCATCTTTGTCTTATACTTTTCAGCTTTTTAAATTTAACACTTTTAAGAAGTATTACATTCATTTTATATTTAAAATATTTTTGATAAATAAATAAAACAAAATAGTAAGTGAGAATAAAAAATAAAGTTGTTATATATCTTATATAGCTTATGATCACTGGTTTTTGCAGAAAATTTTCCAGGAGGAAAGCTTGGAAACAAATAATTACATCAATAAATTTTTATTTAATTTTTTCAGGGTTTTTCACAAGTAGATTAATGAATTTTTATTGAAGACTTTTTGTATTGCATCAATACAAAAAGACAGATAAAGCATCCCATGAGATATATTGTAGTAACCTTAGGCCCAAGTGTTGAAGGTGTAAGGTTACATGTCTCAATTTCTTTTACAATTATAATTTTAGGAATTTTTTTACTCTATTCCAGGGAGGTGCAAGTTCCTTGTTTATCCCCCCCTGTGGACATTCATGCTTACAGTATATAATATTTTATTTATTATTATTATAAATAATAATTAAATATTTAACTGAAAACATTATGAAAAATAAAAACTTATGTTCAGGTACTAAAATATTTGAATAAAACAGCAATTTAGGATTTGAATGGTTAACTTTTGGGCCACACTGTATATTTTTGATTAAAGTTTTAAAATTTTTATTATGATCAATCTTTCGTAATTAGTTTAGGATTAATACTTTAATAATTCTATTTTTAATTACACTATTGTTGACATTTCTGTCTTAAAGTTCAAATTATAAAAAATTTTGTGTTGAATATACATTTAATGTAATGTTTGTTTAATTAGTATTGCATATTTATATATCAATTTTAATTTCTCATGGGAAATTAATTTTTCAGGGTGAATTATTAGAAGGATTTAAAAAGAAAATTGCTGAATTGCAAATGACCCTGCACTCTCTTCTGACGTTTCGGTCTACTTTGAATACTCTTCAAAAGTTGAAAGCTCACGAATTTATTAAATCAAATGTTTCAAATACCGTTCTGTAAAGTATATTTGATAGTTTTATAAATGTACTTTAAACAATAATTTATATTATGAAATAAACTTTTGTAAATCTCTCTAATTAATGCCTGCTCTCTTGTTTATTTTTAGAAATGTAATTAGCAATTCATTCTCATTAACTAAATATTATTTAGTATGAAATATTCTTGATTTTTTTTTTCCTTCTTACAACAGAAACGATGAAAATTTAAGTATTGGAGATGCATTCAAAAACAAGCTTCTTAAAAAGTTTATAACTCACATTATTACAGTCAGTTTTATAAAAAGTTTTATATTTTTCTTTAGTATTTTGTTTGTTATATGAATTAACCAAAAGGTAGCATCTTAAAATTTGTTTTGATTGTTTTTGAATGTTGGCAATGTGATTATTTATGACTGGAATAAGAAAAAATAAATGTATGTACAGTATAAATTGGTTTTATTTATATATGGCAATGCTTGACGTGAGCCATCTGCAGAGGGGGATTCCTCTCGGGAGGTCTTTTTTGGGAAACTGGCCTCTAGGTGTTATTAACGTGAAGTAAACCCAGAAAACTCCACATGGCAAGTCAGTTTTCCAGGCATACACCCACAACCAACTACCAGTGTTCTGGTTTTATGCACTCTGTCACTGATGGACACACACACACAGTATAAATGACAGTCAACCCAATATACTAGTTTTCAAACAGTCTGCTGAATTTTTATCAGGTTAAACGAACTTCCTACAAAGCTTAATAATCAAAAACAAAGCAATATGTTATTGATTATTAAGTAGCCATAATTTAGCCCAGTAAAAATTTGGCAGATTGTTTGGAAACATAAATAAAAGTAATTTTTTTTAATTTTAAAGAGACTCCAAAAAGTTTCAGGTTAACACTAAAATTAATAAGTAGATGTAATTACATTATATATATATATTCAGAATGAAAATATCTTTGAATCCTTTGCCTTTCTGATATTTTACTTTTATTATTATTATTTTTATAATTTAATTAATATGTATCAAGTATTTAGGAAAAACATAACGTAAAACATAACTTACATTTTAGGAAGCCAACAAAATAATTTTGTACGTTTAGTTTATGCATTTTCATAGTTAAAAATTTACAGTCAAAATGCTGAACATGTTAAATAATGTATTTTTAAGAAATTAATTCATGAAATTTATTAACATGAACTAGTAATTATAAATTTAAAATATAAAATATTAATCTTTAATTATATTTTAAAATATACAGTATTGTATATCAATAGGAATGAATAGAGTTTGAGGTTGTAAAATTAACACTTTGTATTATCAAATGTCCAAAAATAATGTACAGTTGCTTGTTTTCTTTTTATTTAAATAGAAATTAGTTGAAGTGTCATTCTTTTAATCATTAGTCGAAATTATGAATCAATCATGTTTATGTTTAAATTTCATGTTTATAAATCATTAATAAGAATTTATATTTCATCTAATCTATATATAATCTTGATTCTTAAATTATTTTTGATTGTAGCTATTCTAAACTATTGTAATTCTACATTGATAAATTATATATTGATGGTGATAAATATGAATAACTTAATTTTATAGCTTTGTTTATACATTTGATAATTCGTTAATTCGGAAAAAATTTATATAAAACATATGCTTAAAGTTGAGTCATTTTATTGGTTAAATTAAAAATAATAATAAAGATTATTTAATGGTTGAAACAATAAAAATATTACATAGTTAAGTTTGTGTAAATTGGAATTGCATGCAACTATAAATTTTCTTGCATTTCCATTGTAGACAGGCTGGAAAAGAACACGGTCACTATATACATTTTTTACCAAATTTCAATCTAGACAATATTTATTATGTAGAAAATAAATATTATATTCAAGTGTATATTTTCAATTGAAAGTATATATGAAATTTATTTGCATTTTCTCAATGAAAATGTAAACTTTTAGATTTCATCCTGGCATAACACATTTAGCTTTCTGTTCATGTCTCATAGGTTCTGTCTTAGACAAGAAAAAATGTAAGAGCAATGCCGAAATAATTGCAATTTTGGTGCAATTATTTCGTGCAAGTTTTGCAATTAATTTGGTGCAAGTTTCTATCTTAGTGAGGTTCCACTTTATTTAGGTTTTGCTGTATAACTACAGTACAATTTGATGCTAGAATGTTGCTAATTTGTGATTCAATGATAGCATTTTTCAGTACTATAAACTATTAAATATTGAAAAATTACTTTGTTATCCTATATATTATTTATAATACCTTTTAGAGTGGCAAAGGTCTTTTGCATCAAACTATCAACAGGTTATGCTGGAGTCTGTAGGAAAACAGCTTAAAATTTTGAGCTAGTTTTCCAAAGGATGACAATTTGAATACATAAGCTTTCACAAGTTTTCTTCTTAATAAAAGATGAAACTTCCATTTTGGATAATAATTTAGATGATGTAATTTACCTCTTGTTTATGTCCTTTTTTCTTGTCTTTGTAGTTTTTATGACCCACTCGAAAAATTCAAAATTAATTTAAATGTATTTGTTTTGATTTCTTATATGTCTTTTCTGTCTTTGATTATTTCATTTATTCCTTTTTCAAATAACATCAGAGATAAAAACATTAATCATTAAATATAGTTAATGTAACTTAATACATTAAATTATTGCAATGATTAATTATTTGTTCAGTTAATTAATTAATTAATAACTATTTCACATTAATTACTTGTCTCCTACTTTGAATAATTGATTGTGTAATCAATTATTATGATACCTTAGTTACTTCTTAACATATCAAATGTTTAACCACCATATTGCAATAGTTTAAAATTTTAGAGCAGAGATGGTAAGCTGTACAGATTCTACCTACAGTATCGTGTAGGTTTACTTAGTAGCTGCTAGATTCTTATTCAGTTTTTATCTCCATATGATTCTGAAGTCTATTTACTGCTATAAAATGAATATCTGGAATGGTTTATGACAGAGATGAGGAAACCTTCAATCTTTGGGTTACATGTAGCCTTTTGTGGCTTCTAATACTGCATAAGAAATGTAGAAATAAGATTTTGGGCATTTGTTTTTCTTCATTTTTCAGATAAATAGAATAAAAAGTAACATTTTAATATTTTTGAGCTTTATCTTTATTGTAAGACATCTTGTGTATCTCTGTCAAATGAAAATACTTATACAGCATGCAATAAAATGTGGCATTGTGCCTTCTTTATGAAATGTTCTGCAGCCGCCAATTAAAAAATGGTTCACCTCTGATCTTGGGGTTTGAATTGGCTAAAACAGTCATTCTAGTACTAATACTTAAAAATCAGTAGATCATATATCTATTATTTCTATTTGTCTTCTAAATATGTAATGAAACTTTTTAACCTTAGTTTTTTAATTAATATTTGAATAATTAATAGATATTGCACTGTAATAATATAATTTACAGTAATTTCCATACCATAATAAACTTGGTAATACTAGTGAGGAGTTTCAAGTATTATCTCTAGAGCACGGTAAATAAATGTTCAAGATTTAAGAGCTTCTTGTAACGTGTAGCAGCACAGCAAATCTATTTCTCATAAATAAGCTTTGATCTCCTATAATACATAATAAATTTATTTTTCAGAAAAGGGAAAGTAGAAATAATATTTGTTTGTTTATAATACACAAGATCTGTGATGTATGTAGAGTAAGAAACATCATTCTATAATTCAATTTGTTTTAAATAAGCATTCAGAAAATAAATATTTGAGTTTTTTGTTGACAGAAGGATATATTGATTATTTATTAATATTCTCCAGAATTTGTACTCTTTCTCCCAGTTGAGAATTCATTATCTTTTCTACTTTACATTGACGTTCACTTTAATTAATGCATGTTTTGTCAGAAGTATGAATTAATTAATACATGTTTCTAGAAAATTGGAAAAGTTTTTTTTATATAAAGTGCTTTTTTTTTAAATAACTTTCATAAGAACAACATTTCTCTGATGTAATATTGTTTTCTCTTCCATGCAATTCATTTATGAATATGAAATTTCATTATAATTAAATATTTTATATAAGTTTTTATGAACTTATACGAATGATTACAATTTAAGCCATTGGCTTTAATATAAATCAAAAGATGCATTTTTATAGAAACAATATTATTTTTATTATTAAAGTTTGTTAAATTCTTAATTTATTAAGTTTTAGAAAGGATAATGAGATTTTATTGAACAAGTGTAGGTTTAATTTTATGTATTTTGTTAAATGTTTATGCAGGGTTGCTCAAAAGTCAGTTAATTAAGATAAATATATAAGAAAACTTAAAGGTAGATTTATGAAAACTTAGTTTGAATCATGAACAACAGCTATGTACTGTTCACGATTCAAACTATGTTCGTGATTCAGTTGCATCATTAGAAACAACCGTGGGCATCCACCAAAAATTTTTTGGGTGGGTAAAGCTTGGAGACAAATAATTACATCAATAAGTTTTCATTTAATTAATTAATTTTTTGGCTAGATTCACAAGTAGATTATAGAATAGAGTATTGCATCAATACAAAAAGATAAAGCATCCCAAGGTTGATGGTTACATATCTCAATCATGTCTACAATTATAATTTATGAAATTTTCTACTGATCTACTCAATCCCAAGAGGCAAGTGTTCCGTTTGCTCCACTCTGTGGATGTCCGTAGAAACAACTGACTCATCATTTTTAAAATAATTTTAGATATATTGCTGCTAACTGACTTTTGAATACATTCTTGCTGAAATAACATTAAATTTGGAAGGATAATTAAAACAGTTTTATAATTTAAAGTTAACAGGAGTAATTAATGTAATAGAAAGTTAAACACCTAAACTCATTGAACAAATATTTTTACTTCATTAAAACATTTTAGGCTTTTCTGTAATTTCTAGTGTATCTGTTGCTTAAAAAAATGATTCAAATGGAATTAAAATTGATAATATTTATAAAAAATAAGTTTAAACTGTTTCTGTATTGACTATTTTTTGTTATATATAAATGATTAAGAATATAAAATATTAAAGAGTAGTTTATAAGTTGTTATTTATTTTGGAATATTGGATTGTTGATG